GGCCCGCCTCAGCAGCATACAACCGGTTTCCCATCATTCCTGCCTCGTGGATTCAGCCGTACCGAGCCTCCAAACTCTATACGGTGTCTGAGACACATATCGATACAGGGTGTTTCAGAAAAATGGACCCGATCGTGAAACATACTGCTCTGAAATTGGCTCTATCACTCTGAAACACCCTGTATTTCGCCTTTGAAATACGTGAATGGATAAAATTGTTACAGAATCCCAGTTACAAAAAATAATATGATTAACTACAATTTAAAAAAAAAATACAGATGCTTTGACTGTGGTGGTCGCTAAATTGTATATGGTTACTGGAAACTGATTAATGTGATATGGAGCGTTGACGTTGGCGTTAATGTTGGGGTGTTGGTATAATGTGCTTGTTGGGGCGCCCTGATGCTGCCTTTCAGGCTGGTTAATGTAGTGTGTGTGTGTGTGTGTGTGTGTGTGTGTGTGTGTGTGTGTGTGTGTGTGCCTAGTTTACCATACGTACAATATCGCTCTATTGCTAATGTTCTTGTATCTGTTGTTGCTGTTGTTGCTGTCGCTGCTGCTATTGTTAATATTATCGCTGCTGTTACTTATTTACATTGCAAGTCAACAAACCCATTAATAAAACGTAATTAAAGTTCAATAAACTGAGAGAGCAGAAACAACAGAACTTAGGAACCCCTGGAAATTTATTCACAAACACTTCATCTAAACTTCACACACTAAGTTTAAATATGTAACAGGTTAAGAGATAACAAGTTTTTTTTCTCGACCTTAAACTTTAACATACATGTAAAGGATTAACTTGGAATATTTAAAGCCCCTCCTCCCCCCCCTCAAAAAAATAGCATATAGGAGAAATCCAATTTCCTGGAACCCCCACCCGTGGAACTTTGAACTCTTATAAAGCGTGGAACTTATGGAACCCACGGGTGGAACTTTGGAATCACATGTGGCACTCTGAACCACCTATGTATTGAACTTCTGATCCCGAACGTGGAACGTTGAACTCACACATCTATGAACCCAGGCATTGAACTTCGAACCTATTGTTGTGTTTTGTGTCAGTGAACAGCTTAAGCTTTTCCTGAAACGGACTTCTGTAATATTATTATTATTATTATTATCATTATTATTATTATTATTATTATTATTATTATTATTATTATTATTATTATTATTATCATTATTATTATTATTATCATCATTATTATTATTATTATTATTATTATTATATTATTATTATTATTATTATTATTATTATTATTATTATTATCATTATTATTATTATTATATATTATTATTATTATTATTATTATTAATTATTTAAAACCAAGAGGATGACTGCTTAGTAATGTCTTCAGAGATAGTGTTCAACCAGAGAGTGAAACTTAAGCTCTCCTGAGCAATTAGAACTTGACAAACTTGGACTGCAGAGAATTTCATTGGAATCGTGGCTGGTGTGGCACTGTTCCTGGCTGGTGTGGCACTGTTCCTGGCTGGTGTGGCACTGTTCCTGGCACCTCCATTATGTTGTCTCCGGAACTGCGTCAGTGAGTGCCATTATGTGAGGTTGGCAGTGATGGTTGCTACTGTGAGAGGGGGGTGAGGGGTAATAGAAGAGGGGGAGGGCAGGCAGGCAGGGAGGCAGGAAGGGAGGCAGACAGGAAGGCAGGCAGGAAGGCAGGTAGGGAGGTAGGCAGGAAGGCAGGCAGGAAGGCAGGCAGAAAGGCAGGCAGGAAGGCAGGTAGGGAGGTAGGCAGGAAGGCAGGCAGGAAGGCAGGCAGAAAGGCAGGCAGGAAGGCAGGTAGGGAGGTAGGCAGGAAGGCAGCGCAGGAAAGGCAAGGCAGAAAGGCAGGCAGGAAGGCAGGCAGGGAGTAGGCAGGAAAGCAGGCAGGGAGGCAGGAGAAAGGCAGTCAGGAAGGCAGGCAGGAAGGCAGGTAGGGCAGGCGAAGGCAGAGGACGGAGAAGGCAGGCAGGAAGGGCAGAGGCAGGGAATGCAGGAAGGAGGCAGCAGGAAGGCAGGCAGGAAGGCAGGGAGGCAGGAGAGGCAAAGGCAGGGAAAGGGTAGAGCAGACGCAAGGCAAGGAAGGTAGGCAGAAGGCAGGCAGGAAGGCAAGGCAGGGAATGCAGGCAGGAAGGCAGGGGAGGCAGGAGGCAGGCAGGAGGCAGGCAGGAAGCAGGCAGGAGGAAGGCAGTCAGGAAGGCGGATAGGAAGGCAGACGGGCATGCAGGCAGGATGACTGACAGGAAGGCAGGCAGAGAAGGCAGGCAGGAAGGCAGGAAGGGAGGCAGGGAGGAAGGCAGGCAGGCAGGAAGGCAGGCAGGAAGGCAGGCAGGAAGGCAGCAGGCAGGATGACAGGCAGGAAGGCAGGCAGGAAGGCAGGCAGGAAGGCAGGTAGCGGAGGGAAGGCAGGCAGGAAGGCAGAGCAGGAAGGCAGATAGGAAGGCAGGCAGGAAGGCAGGCAGGAAGGCAGGCAAGGGAGGCGGGAAGAGGGAAGGCAAGGACAGGCAGGAAGGCAGGCAGGAAGGCAGGGCAGGCAGGAAGCAGCTGATAGGCAGGCAGAGGGCAGGCAGGCAGGCGCAGGGAACAGGGAGGCAGGCAGGAAGGCAGGCAGGAAGGCAGCAGGAAGGCAGGCAGAAGGCATGCAGGGCAGGTAGGAAGACAGGAAGGCAGGCAGGAAGGCAGGCAGGAAGGCAGGCAGGAAGGTAGGCAGGAAGGCAGGCTGGAAGGCAGGCAGGAAGGCAGGTAGGGAGGCAGGGAGGAAGGCAGGCAGGAAGGCAGGCAGGAAGGCAGGCAGGAAGGCAGGCTGGAAGGCAGGCAGGAAGGCAGGCAGGAAGGCAGGCTGGAAGGCAGGCTGGAAGGCAGGCAGGAAGGCAGGCGGAAGCAAGGAAGGCAGGCTGGAAGGCAGGCAGGAAGGCAGGTAGGAAGGCAGGCAGGAAGGCAGGCTGGAAGGCAGGCTGGAAGGCAGGCAGGAAGGCAGGCTGGAAGGCAGGCTGGAAGGCAGGGAAAATCTGTCACAGCAAGGCAGGCTGAAGTCTACTGAACAGGCTGGAACCAGGAAGCAGCTGAAGGGACAGGAAGGCTGTGTAGAACACGGAGGCACCTGGACCCAGGTCGCTGGGAACAGGGAGAAGCAGCAGATCTCTGTCAACAGGGACCGGACAGTCTCTGGGAACAGCACGAAGCACTGGAACAGCTTCAGCCCCAAGGCAGCCGACCAAAAACAGCTAAATCTTCACACACCGAATCTCTCTGACACACACGGACCAGTTGATTATATAATTGAGTAATATCTCTGTCCACAGCACCCGACCCACCGTCTCTCTGTCCACAGCACCCGACCCACCGTCTCTCTGTCCACAGCACCCGACCCACCGTCTCTCTGTCCACAGCACCCGACCCACCGTCTCTCTGTCCACAGCACCCGACCCACCGTCTCTCTGTCCACAGCACCCGACCCACCGTCTCTCTGTCCACAGCACCCGACCCACCGTCTCTCTGTCGACCACCCCGCAAGCACCCGACCCACCGTCTCTCTGTCCACAGCACCCGACCCACCGTCTCTCTGTCCACAGCACCCGACCCACCGTCTCTCTGTCCACAGCACCCGACCCACCGTCTCTCTGTCCACACCACCCGACCCACCGTCTCTCTGTCCACAGCACCCGACCCACCGTCTCTCTGTCCACAGCACCCGACCCACCGTCTCTCTGTCCACACCACCCGACCCACCGTCTCTCTGTCCACACCACCCGACCCACCGTCTCTCTGTCCACAGCACCCGACCCACCGTCTCTCTGTCCACAGCACCCGACCCACCGTCTCTCTGTCCACACCACCCGACCCACCCTCTCTCTGTCCACAGCACCCGACCCACCGTCTCTCTGTCCACAGCACCCGACCCACCGTCTCTCTGTCCACACCACCCGACCCACCGTCTCTCTGTCCACACCACCCGACCCACCGTCTCTCTGTCCACAGCACCCGACCCACCGTCTCTCTGTCCACAGCACCCGACCCACCGTCTCTCTGTCCACACCACCCGACCCACCGTCTCTCTGTCCACACCACCCGACCCACCGTCTCTCTGTCCACAGCACCCGACCCACCGTCTCTCTGTCCACAGCACCCGACCCACCGTCTCTCTGTCCACACCACCCGACCCACCGTCTCTCTGTCCACACCACCCGACCCACCGTCTCTCTGTCCACACCACCCGACCCACCGTCTCTCTGTCCACAGCACCCGACCCACCGTCTCTCTGTCCACACCACCCGACCCACCGTCTCTCTGTCCACACCACCCGACCCACCGTCTCTCTGTCCACTAATCCGAATATTATTGTAGGCTTGTTCCTCCGTCCTCCTAAGCGTTCTACCGACCTTCCGCTAGGACTGGCGGTGTTTGTGTGTGTGTGTGTGTGTGTGTGTGTGTGTGTGTGTGTGTGTGTGTGTGTGGTGTGTATGTACTCACTCACCTATTTGTGGTTGCAGGGGTCGAGTCTTAGCTCCTGGCCCCGCCTCTTCACCGGTTGCTACTGGGCCCTCTCTCTCCCCGCTCCATGAGCTTTATCAAACCTCGTCTTAAAACTGTGTATGGTTCCTGCCTCCACTACAACACTTTCTAGGCTATTCCACTGCCTGACTACTCTATTACTGAAGAAATACTTCCTAACATCCCTTTGACTCATCTGAGTCTTCAACTTCCAATTGTGACCTCTTGTTTCTGTGTCCCCTTCCTGGAACATCCTGTCTTTGTCCACCTTGTCTATTCCGCGCAGTATTTTATATGTCGTTATCATTTCTCCCCTGACCCTCCTGTGTGTGTGTGTGTGTGTGTGTGTGTGTGTGTGTGTGTGTGTGTGTGTGTGTGTGTGTGTGTGTGTGTGTGTGTGTGTGTGTGTGTGTGTGTGTGTGTATGTGTGTGTATGTGTGTGTGTGTGTGTCTGTGTCTGCGTGAGTATTTATTCATCATGTGTCAGTGTATGTGTAACACACAGGTGCTTCACACACCAGAGACAGATGACTGGACATTACAAGTGCTCTTCACCAGGCCTTGGGACACTGGCACTTACAAGTGCCAAGTTAACTCTCATCCCAAGATCTTCAGAGACGTTCATCTTAGCGTCATGGGTAAGTTCGCTGAATTATATAAGGGAACTTAACAGACTCGCTGTGTGTTGCTACGGTAGTCTCTATGATAATTACATTGTGGGAACACCCACAGTGTGAGATTATCTTCTGTATGATAATTACATTGTGGGAACACCCACAGTGTGAGATTACCTTCTGTATGATAATTACATTGTGGGAACAAACATTCTGGGGACAACATTCTTGGGTTATCTCTGGAGACAACATTCTTGGGTTATCTCTGGGGACAACATTCTTGGGTTATCTCTGGGGACAACATTCTTGGGTTATCTCTGGAGACAACATTCTTGGGTTATCTCTGGGGACAACATTCTTGGGTTGTCTCTGGGGACAACATTCTTGGGTTATCTCTGGGGACAACATTCTTGGGTTGTCTCTGGGGACAACATTCTTGGATTATCTCTGGGGACAACATTCTTGGGTTATCTCTGGAGACAACATTCTTGGGTTATCTCTGGGGACAACATTCTTGGGTTATCTCTGGGGACAACATTCTTGGGTTATCTCTGGAGACAACATTCTTGGGTTATCTCTGGAGACAACATTCTTGGGTTATCTCTGGGGACAACATTCTTGGGTTATCTCTGGGGACAACATTCTTGGGTTATCTCTGGGGACAACATTCTTGGGTTATCTCTGGGGACAACATTCTTGGGTTATCTCTGGAGACAAACATTCTTGGGTTATCTCTGGAGACAACATTCTTGGGTTATCTCTGGGGACAACATTCTTGGGTTGTCTCTGGGGACAACATTCTTGGGTTATCTCTGGAGACAACATTCTTGGGTTATCTCTGGAGACAACATTCTTGGGTTATCTCTGGAGACAACATTCTTGGGTTGTCTCTGTGGACAACATTCTTGGGTTGTCTCTGGGGACAACATTCTTGGGTTATCTCTGGGGACAACATTCTTGGGTTATCTCTGGGGACAACATTCTTGGGTTATCTCTGGAGACAACATTCTTGGGTTATCTCTGGAGACAACATTCTTGGGTTATCTCTGGAGACAACATTCTTGGGTTATCTCTGGAGACAACATTCTTGGGTTATCTCTGGGGACAACATTCTTGGGTTATCTCTGGGGACAACAGTCTTGGGTTATCTCTGGGGACAATAGTCTTGGGTTATCTCTGGGGACAACATTCTTGGGTTATCTCTGGGGACAGCATTCTTGGGTTATCTCTGGGGACAACATTCTTGGGTTATCTCTGGGGACAACATTCTTGGGTTATCTCTGGGGACAATAGTCTTGGGTTATCTCTGGGGACAACATTCTTGGGTTATCTCTGGGGACAACATTCTTGGGTTATCTCTGGGGACAGCATTCTTGGGTTATCTCTGGGGACAGCATTCTTGGGTTATCTCTGGGGAGAACATTATCTCTGGGGAGAACATTATCTCTGGGGAGAACATTATCTCTGGGGAGAACATTATCTCTGGGGAGAACATTATCTCTGGGGAGAACATTATCTCTGGGGAGAACATTATCTCTGGGGACGTGTATCAGGAAAGATCGATCATACATAAAGGTGAAATGAAAGCATTCCGTCGCCACAGCGGCGGAAAAAAATAGATTATGGCGGGAAGGTGGGAAAGCGGGAAGAACAAAAAGGAATGAGAAAGTAAAAAAAAAATAGAAAGAGGGAAGAGGGAGGGGTGAGAGAGGAATAGAGAGATGGAGGGTGGGAGGGAGGGTGATAAAGATTTATATTCAGATATGAACGCTTGTATAGTATTGAACAGACCTCTCTCTCCCTGCCTCCTCTCTCTCTCTCTCTCTCTCTCTCTCTCTCCTCTCTCTCTCTCTCTCTCTCTTCTCTCTCTCTCTCTCTCCCTTTTCTCTCACAGATAAGCATCAGCTGGATCACCACATGTACAGAGTGCCGCCTTCTGATCCCGACCAAGGTAAGTTTACCTCACAGTTTCTGTGTAACAGTCTAGCTCACTCTCTGACTGTGTGACAGTCTAGCTCACTCTCTGTGTGACAGGCTAGCTCACTCTCTGACTGTGTGACAGTCTAGCTCACTCTCTGTGTGACAGTCTACCTCACTCTCTGGCTGTGTAACAGTCTAGCTCACTCTCTGTGTGACAGTCTAGCTCACTCTCTGACTGTGTAACAGTCTAGCTCACTCTCTGTGTGACAGTCTAGCTCACTCTCTGACTGCGTAACAGTCTAGCTCACTCTCTGTGTGACAGTCTAGCTCACTCTCTGTGTGACAGTCTACCTCACTCTCTGACTGTGTAACAGTCTAGCTCACTCTCTGTGTGACAGTCTACCTCACTCTCTGACTGTGTAACAGTCTAGCTCACTCTCTGTGTGACAGTCTAGCTCACTCTCTGTGTAACAGTCTAGCTCACTCTCTGTGTAACAGTCTAGCTCACTCTCTGTGTGACAGTCTAGCTCACTCTCTGACTGTGTAACAGTCTAGCTCACTCTCTGTGTGACAGTCTAGCTCACTCTCTGTGTGACAGTCTAGCTCACTCTGTGACTGTGTGACAGTCTAGCTCACTCTCTGTGTGACAGTCTAGCTCACTCTGTGTAACAGACTAGCTCACTCTCTGACTGCGTGTCTCGCTGAGTATTTAACTGTCTATTTTCATGGATTCCTTGGTGTCTGAAAGACTTTCTGACTGTTTAAGTGGCTGTCTCCCTGGGTTATTGATGGATGAAGGGACAGTTC